TGGGTCTCCTTTTTTCTTCGGATAGTAGTTATCAATGTTCTAGCGTTACCCACTTTTGTGTCTTAGTAGCACAACAACATGCTTCCAGGCCGCAGGGAAGGTACTGCTTCTCATTGGTAAAGTGAAAACGTTAATGACTACGAGTGGGACGTCATGACACCCTATCGTTTGCACTACCGGTAAGCCATCGCGGCCAGGGTAGTAGGACAACTTGAACGACTTGATTACCCAGGCGATCATGCATCGATCAATGGTAATGCTGGATGGTTCATCCTCTATAAGTCTGGGTACGTGAGCTGTGATATCAAACTAACATTGATGAAGGAGTTGCGAAAATACATGTTTGGAATCTCGTCTGGTTCTTTTTGGTCAGTAAACGTTGTTCTATCCGGTGGCACTGGTGACTTGGTGGGCATCACATTACGTTTTAGTCGATTAGTAAGAGACTTTGATGGATGTGCGCTTAAAATCGCGGTACTCTCCTGTGCGGACTTCACCAAAGATTGTCAGTTTCTTCACTGCAGCATGGTTGATGCGCATAAGAAGATTAAACTCCTTTGTATTCTTGTAGTTGGATCGCAGTCGCTAGAAACAACCTATTCCAGTTCGTGGATCAGAAGCGATTGGAGTACTTGTCCCAGTTAGCACACCGAATTGGTAGGTAAGCGGCCACTAGTTTCACAACGCAACTCCTCAGTCTAGTCATCACAAACGAGATCTACACTAGCTTATGGTCACTACCCTGGATATTGCCTAGCACACTCGCGAAGGCGAAGGAGACTCCTGGTGTGCAAAATAAGTCAAAAACATCTTGTTTATTGGGTGCACCTACATGCTGAGTCCAGTCACATTCCGAACAGTGCGTGATAGAAATATATGTCAGGTTACTCACCTACTATTTTGTAAGCAGTAGTTTGGAAACTTGGCAGAAGAGTTTGACATATTCTAGCACATTCGTTGGTAGTGTGTGGCGGGTTACGAATGCAGCCAATTAAAAAGCTGTGTTCCCCACTGATCTGCACCCAGATTGAATCTTCGGGGTTACCAATAGGTAAGCTTTCAAATGTAGTGGCATGAAACCGCTTATGGATATTAATAAAGGATCCACCACCTCGGCTAGTAACGCGACCACTACAGAAATTTTGGTGGCCCGGGATATGAGGAGACGTGTTAAGCGTACCGAAGATGTGTCATGTTTCGGTAACCAGCACCACCTGATGACCAGCTAGAGGGTTAAAGGGACTTATTAAATATACCTTGTGTTTGGTTCATCAAGCCTTAATGCGAAGCCTTTTAACAAGCTCACGGCTGGATATAGTTGTAATAGAAGTACGAAGTTCCATATTACTACCACTATCCATACTCGTTTCCTCCTTACATCCTCCAGTGTTCGTAGATGTTGATATTGCTGTCAAAGTAAGGACGTTGTACATATCCGTAGATGCAGCGGGTGATACAGGCATGGCCGATGCATTGGACGAGTAGATGTGACATGTTTTACATGACGAATCAACCAGTTTAAAACAGCCACAAGTCCGGACTGGTTGGAGGAGTAAGTTTCTCCCACGATCTGCGCTCATTGCAATGCCCTAACAACGTGTGTCACCAAGGCTTGGTAGTTTGCGGCAATGAGCATGAGACACAGTCAAACTGGTGTTCAGATAGTGTAATTTCACCGGTGACGCGGCCTCCGGTGTTATACTCTTATCAGTGTCCAGACATTTCAAAAATGTAGATACAACTATCGGTGCCAGATGTCCATCACCGAAAATAGATGATCGTGAAACAAGTAAAGGTGTGATCAGAATTCTTAGAGCGCATTCAGGCTTCAAAGTTGGACTTGGAGAATCCGCCGGTGGTTGGGTTGCTACAAGCAACCTCTATTGAGACCTCGGTTCACTTGAGGTGGACCTCGGTCATTCCGATCAAAAAGGCCGTAAGTATAAATGATCGGAATGACCGAGGTCCACCTCAAGTGAACCGAGGTCTCAATAGAGGTTGCTTGTAGCAACCCAACCACCAGCGGATTCTCCAAGTCCAACTTTGCATTCGTTTCCGCTGGACTAAGCGTTGCTCGCGGATCTCAGTGGCATAGTGCTTATGGCGTCAACCATGAGCCACTAGGCTCTGAGTTCCAGCCCAACTCAGGCTATCTCCAACCGATGAGTCCCAACCAGGACGAAACCGCGGTCTTGGGGTGCCAGTGTTGGGATGAGCAACACTAGAATGTTCCGCATTCAGGCTTGATAATAAGATGGCGTTGGCACTTTGGGTTGGGGGCCAGAGTTGGGATCGAGGACTTACACGGATGGGCATGGTTGGGATGAAAGGCGCGCGAGAATAGACGTCAATATTCTTCGAAATTGGAGCACTTTATTCCGTTTAATGCGATGCGCTAAAAGCACGATGAGCCCGACGGCGATAATAAATAGACAAACACAATGTGTTTGCCAAGTCGAAAGTAGAAGGATTTCAGCAAAGAAGTATGCTATTGGAGCGGTCGATGTCATGGATGACTGGGTCTTAGAGATGGACGACGTGGCTATCAGATGCAAGCGAAATGTGTTCTAAAGTTCACGCACTGGGCAAAGTCATCCTTCCGCGACAGGTGGCATTTTCAACTGAATGCCAGTATGGTCTTGTTGAGATCATTTTTATCAGTATGATCTTTAACTGGTTGGTCTATAGCATGATATAGAACGACTCTCCCGAGTATATGCTATTAGAACGTAGCGGTTATTGCGTGTACCCTCGCGCACTGGATCTCCCAACTAGCTTCCAGTTCAGAGATGACAGTACATTGGCTGTCATCAATTGTCATGTCAAATCCTCGAGTTTTTCTACACTATAATCTTTGTGCTCCTATTCTAACAAATCATCCACCATTGTGTAGCTGCGTTTCTCCCATGATTATTCACTTTCTTAAAGCACATTAACTAAACAATAACTGGTAGATGCATGCATTTCGTATAGACTCCCCAGTAGCATTACCAGTAACCGGTATACCTATGTGTAGGTAACATCGGGCGCGATCAGACAAACCTAAAGTGCGGATTGAATGACGGAAGTTCACCACTACCTACAAGGGAGTTTTAATTTGACGAATACTTGTTTTTGAATGCAAAGAGTGGCTTCATCCAGTTTATGGTGATCGCCTCGACAAACCGAAGGAAGCAGTGATTAGCATGACGCAACCCCACTTTGAACGCTAGGCGTTTACCTATTGAAGAAGTCGGCGGCCTACGCGAGCACAGATTCTGGACAACTGTACACTATACCCATTTCGGCACATGTTTATTCATTCCGGATGTCAGAGTCCTATCAGTTCTGTCTATGTAGCTGGCTCCGCACTTACACATGAATTGATGTGCCAATGAGAGCTAGCCGCGATTGGCTAAGATTCCTACGTTGAAAGGACGCGCAAACTTCGGGTTTGCTTGATCACAACGACTTGCACAGCGTAGTATATTCCCCACCTGGTTGATGCGATGCGCTTAGTTACCTTCAGTTTGTTGAAATCACTTTTGAAAGCCAACTTAATACGAACCTTTTTCTTGGCTGCCTTGTGTACCAACTCCCTCGGGCCTCGCAGTTGACTTTGGTTTTCGACAAGTGCTGTTATGACTAAAGTAAGTTCATCAGTCAAACAGTTGGCTGAATAGGTTCGTCTGGCACAACTAATTAAGACCTTTCTAATCGTCCGCTTGCACCGCATTTGTGTGAAACTGGTGAAGTGCAAGTATGGGCGTACCAGGTCGCCTTTCGATACACAGACTTCTCCACCCCTGATGAGGATGTTCCGGTGTGGCCGACACTGTTCCTGCTCTGCTTCACAGGTGATACGTAAGTTGGCCCACTAAGCGCTCTACCAACTGCCTGATCTGCTGCTCCGACGAACAAATTGCCACGCAGTGTTTAGGGTAGGGTACTTGGAATCCTTTTGTCGAAACCCTTTTTTCTATCATTTACAGAGGGAAATCAGCGAGTACAGGGCCTAGTGGGTTGCCTGTTGCTACTCCATTGATTTGGCGATACAATCTTTTGTGAAAATGAAAGCTGACATATTCCGCGCACGATACCAGGCTTTCTGCAACATTCAGACTGAAATTTTTAATGCTTAACTAGAATGTCCAGCTAATCCACACACGTAATCCGATTTGATGTAGCGTGACCTTAGTGAACATGGATTCCCTATCCAAGGAACACAACCTTGTCAAATAGCTTTAATTTATCCATGACCTCAATGGTTTGAGATGGGTCCTTAGGACTGTACGGATTGACCCATTTTATCAGAGACGAAAACACCACCCACCAACGGACCAGGTTGTGCTGAGGCGCGTTCACCATTGAGAGAATTTGCCAGATTGCCACTCAGCTCTCGTGTATCTTCGGTGGCCCACACAACTATGCAATGGTGCTACCACTCGGCCTCAAATTGTTAAAAGTGTCACTGTCTGTCACGCGATGGAGAAGAATCATTTCAGAATTATGTGCGTATTTCGATTTCCGCTGTCCCCTATTTCGGGGTTGTTTCAATTTACTCGTATCGTTGAGTATGGTGCACGTTTTCTGATTATATTCGGTTTTGTTCAGGATCACCACTCCAGTTTCAATACGACCGCCTTCTTAATTCGTAATTCACTTTAGGTCTGAAGGTGTCGACCTAATTAGAACAGTTTTAACTTCATGAGCGTTGTCACTTAGCTTATCTCTGATTCAATTAACTTTACCCCAACTGGTTGGTTAAAGCTCTTTAAACTGATCAAAACACCTCTACTATAAACAGTCTGTTGAACTTTCAAGGTGGGACTTTGTATTCTAGTTCAAATGACAAAGCCTCTAACTGCAACGTGTTAACTTGTACGTTCGGTAAATTTACGACGTACTTTCTGATATCACGAGCAAGTAGTTTCTCCTCCTGGTTGTTTACCATCAAATTTGCCCACTGCACTTTTCAAATTGTTGAACGAATGTATTCGTTTTCTTTTTTTCCAATTCAGCACAGCGCCCCTATGCATGTGATCAGTGTGGCAAATCGTTTTCTGAGAATGGTATGCTTCGAAGACACGTCATACTTGTTCATTCGAGTGAGTTTAATTGACGGTGTCAGCTCACTTTTGCCACTTCCTTTATATCATCGTTGATGATGTCACGTAGCTTCGGTTTGATCAGTCATACTGTTTGCGGTAGATCCCTGTTTTATCGTTCTCACGATCTAGTCATGTAATTCTGCAAAATCCGTTTTTCAAATCAGCCGCTACATGTAGGATGGTCGTTGAGTTTACACACGGTCCCAGTGCCTGGACTGAGGAAGGTTCACTTTTGTTTACTTAACAATCCAATTATAATTGCCCCACGTCACACATCTGCCACTCCAAACGCCCCAGCAGCGATCCCCTTAACGCTGTGACGCGCGTCTCCCGCAGGATTCGATAGTGCATTGGTGAAAACACCTTCCTGCAATTTATACTTTTGCGGTTCGAGTTCGATTTCTGACGTTTACCCATCTTGAATTGACTTACATTCTCATACAGCACAATCCCTCACTGATTCGTTGATGGGAATCTGAGCGAACCGTTTCACCGTATGATTGCGCATCTTGCAATCGACTGAATTTGACTTCCTCACTAATTATCGGTTGCATCCCCCTCCTGCTTTGCCTTATTTAGTGGACAGCCGCAAGACGTCTTTACCTACACAAGAATCATAAGTGGCTTTCACTTTTTCACCCACGGTTCTATCTACCCTTTGCCAAGTTAGCGCAAATTTGTTGCATATTGAAAAGCCTTATGCGAATGAGAATCAAGGTTGATACGTAGTCAGCCCGCACTCCTTCAACCGCCAACAAACCTTTGGAATCGAGGGTGCAGGTGTGCCTAGGGCGGTGGCCTGACCCTTGGCTGACCTCATTGCACACCTAGCCTCTAAGCTGAGTATCGTTGCAAAGCTTATGTCCATTTTCCCTGGTTTTAAGGAGTTGGACTTACAGCGCATAGATTACTTACGCCAGCGCTTTTATCTTCAATAATGGATAGTGGTAAGACTTCTATTTCACGTTTTGTCACCTCTGATCCCGCGCTTTCTGGCCGGGAATCAAAGCGCTTTAGAATGCAGATGACTCGAAACTTCTAATAATACTACGTCCAATCGAACTCACTGGAGGATCCGTGAATTCTTCTACTTGGTGATTCAGTACTTACCAAACATCGTGTGGACAACTAAAGAACATTTGCTTTCATCTTTCATGGCAATTGCATACAGTGTTCCTCTTATCAAAGTTCACATTTATGGTATCCTTACTCGGGAATACGCATCAAGCATGTGACAGCACTTTTCCACGCTTCGGTTTACCTCAGCTGCACTGAATGTGCCCCACCTGTACCGCATTTTCTGTTGTACTGGGTCGGGCTTCGAAAGGAAGATGAGGGCGTCATCCATAAGATGTGCAGAATTTCATTCATTTCGCTTATTCCTCATGTCTTCGACATTGACTCGGAATAGCAGCGTGTTTAATGCACATGGCTGTGCGCAATGCCGCAATATCTAGCGTATGAATGCCCACAATCCCTCGGCTCAGATCACGTTCTGGTCTGTGCGGACATCTGCATTTGCTTTGGAAATCCTTCGAGATCCGAGCACCATACTCCTTATACCAACAGGCTAGCTAACTCTCCTTTTAAACTGGCATAAGATGCGTCCGCTGTTACTCCACCTCAGAGTGTCGAACATCACTTGGGTTTTTGTATAATGCGTTGTTTTGGTCTTGTCAATCATTCTGTGAAATCATTGGTCCCCCAAAGGTGTCGTATCTCTGCGCGCCCACTGGAATTGTTTGACCATCGCTAGCTGATTCAAACAACGGTGAACTCCGCCGCAACCTCAGAAAGCATGCGTGACGATCGCGAAAAGTGGTGGTTTCATTGCGTTTCAGAGAGTTTTTCTACTCCTAATAGGGCACATGCCGTTTGCGCCAACGAATTAGTCCAATATCCCTCGCCACACCATTATAAAGATTAGCTGCAGGTGGAAAACACAGCTATTGTGCTGCAATACAAGAGAAAAGAAAAAATACACAAAACGGAGGCATGCCGGCTGAGTCACCGTTGACGCATGGACGTCGTTCCGGAGAGCTAACAGCCGGCTACTGTACCGCAAAAAGGAGTAGTTGGAAGCGGTGGCTAACCGGAAGAGAGAGGGACAAAGAAACTCGCAACACAAACGCGATTGCGGTCGTCTCCTAACCATGTAAACAAGTATATCCAGCCAAACGTGTTCATCGCCCTTCAATCCCCAACCAGGGGACCGAGAGGCTCCAACCGAGGTTAACCGATGTAAGCGCCTTCATTTCTCTTGACCAAGTCTTCGTTTGGCCAACCCTCCTCTTCCGACCACACCCCAGGCGGGTAAATATCACACGTCGCTGTAGTCCATGGGCAGGCATGCGTAGCACGTTGCCCAGCCCTCGGAGGCTGGTGCGTGAAATAACGGTGCAGAGCGGTTCGGCTCTTCTTCCTGCGCCATAAACAAAGCGTCTCACACGCGCTTTGCTCACGCGGTATTCCCACCAGATATGAGCCAAACTGCGAAGGCACTAATGGTCGAACGTAACTAGCCTCTTTATGTCGGCTGGTCTAATGAGCCACGTTTCACAGGCGTACAGTAGGGTCGAACGTACCGCTGCATTGTACACTCTGCCCTTCAAGGATAGTGTGATGTCGCTCCGACGCCATAAGTACGAAGGTTAGCAAAAGCGCCTGTTGCTTTTGCTATACGGTTCGTGACCTTGTCTTCAATTCCAGCGACGCTGATATAACTACTTAGGTAAATGAACTTTTGAACGACTTTTAGCTGTTCCCACCCAAGGGTCAGCGCAGGAGGCGGCCCCTGCTAATCCTGGAAAAAAGCTTTGCACTTCGAGGGTGCAAAGGATAGCCCGACATGGTTGGCAGCCAGTGCTCTTCAGCCCAATCCGCTTGGCACGTTTGTGAACTGTCGCAGATGAAGGCGATATCGTCAACATACTCCAAGTCAAGAAGTCGTTCACCTGGCATCAACTCCACACCTTCTAAGTCGTTTCCTGTGAACGCCATCTCTATGACTCAGTCAATATCGAAATTGAAGAGCAAAGGTAACAGGGAACATCCTTGTCTTACACCCCTGGAGATATTGAAGGTCGGCGGCAGCTTGCCGTAAACCCTTACTTATCCTGAGATGCGCACGTAAAGCGCTCACATGATATTTGCATACTTTTCGGACACACTTATTCTTATTTGATTTGATTCATCGCAGTTAGATTCTCAGCCGCATAGGTAAGCTACCAATTTGACGAAGCACTAGACGCGCGTTTCACCCTATTGGGGCTCGTCAGTGGTACGCATTCATCGGTCCCTTACTGGGGGATCGAACCCATGACCGCAAGAGGCTAACGCTAACTAGCCAGCAGCTAGTTGGCATAAAACTTATACTTAGGCGACAGTCCCAAAAAGCACGTCGATCTACCGAATCGAAGGCACCTTCGATTTCAGGGAACACGACAACGGTGGGCCGCTAAAATATGTGACGGCGCTCCAACAGCTGCCACAAGGTGAGTATGTGGTCGATGCCTCTCTACCTCGACGAAACCCGACTTCCTCCTCACGAATCTGGCTTTCACGAGTGCCAGTCACTCTGTTAAGGATTACAGAGGCAGATAATTTGAAGGCGATGGGAATCAGACTGATTTCTCCATGTTTACCGCATTCCGAAATTGTTTGAGGGAAGATTCATAGTTTAGCTGAATACACTTGCTGACTTGACTAGGAGCCGACCTCAATGGTGTTCGTGATGTGAATTCCTTTGTCCCACTCCATCCCTCTTAGCCTCCCCCTCCAACCACGTTCTCACTTCTTAGCCTAATATAATTTTGCATAATTCATTTTTTTGCTGCATAGTAGCCGGCTAGTAGCTTTCCGGAACGATGCCCGTCCGTTACTGGTAGCTCAGCTGGCATGCATCTGTTGAATTTGTTCTTTTTTCTTTCCTTTATTGCGGCACAGTAGCTGAGGTGTTTCCCACCTTTAGCTAGCGTGTATAATGATGAATGACCGCATTCAGAACCCGTGGGTCTTTTGAAGATCGGAACAATAACGGAGCGCCTTAGTCGGTTGGGACAGTTTTCTGCTCCCTCAGTTTCACTAGTAATTTTTGGAAATCATCAACAACAGCAGGGCCCCGAAATTTGAATAGGGATGGATGGAGATCATCTGGTCCCGCGGCTTCATTCCATTTCGACAGTCTGATCTCACGTTCGACTTCTGAGCGAGAGGACAAATCCAAACGGATAGCCCAGGATGCAGGGCGATTAGTGGCCTATGAGGTATCTGACAATTCCGGCCGATTAAATTGCCTTTCAAAATACTCAGCCCAACGCTCCAGCCGTCATGACAAGTTGTAGATAGGCTGTCCACTCCCGTCATAAATACTTTCACTAACACCAGGTCTCCAGCTGCCCGTTTACCGTAACAGACGGATTAACTTCCAATGGTTACCAAGGGCAGCGGCCACTTCCATCTCAGACGCACGATGAGACCACCAGTATTCGCCGTCTATCTTCTGGGTAGCATGGAGTCTTGCCCTGATGTCTTTGCTGATTTTGTTGTATTCGCTTCCAGCCGGAATGTGACGGCGAGCATCGATAAGTTCCAGAGACTGCGAAGAGACCCGATGTCTATTTTGGCTGGTGGATTTACCACATGATGATTTACCTGCTTCCAGTAAGGTCTGGTGGACATGCGATCAGTGAACTTCAACTGTACTCAGTGAGCTCTTGTCCGATTCGGACGTCAGCGTGCTTAGATACGCATTCAGAACATCTGGCTTTGCCAGTTGACTGGTGTTTTTGCACTCTCAGGATAGTCGACGCCGACCGCCAAAACGTATCCGCAGGTCAGCACATACAGGTGCATGGTCAGTGTCCACACATGTGCTCCAAATCGAGCGACCGTTCTGGATGCAGTTTCTCCACTGATCGCGATGTAGGCGATTTGCATACATAGCTGCTTCGAGGCTTCCGATGGGTGCTGTGTAGGAAGTTAGTGCTCACAAGAAG